ACATTGATGTAGAGGTGGTGAATAATTTTTGAAATATATTTGGAAAACTAAGAGAGTGCTTCTGTTTTGATTTTGTTTATACTCCCTGCTTGGAAGCACCTGGGTAAAGTTACTTTATTTACATTGTTGGGGTTGAGTGCCAGAGTCTGAACATTTGTGTGTATATATAAATATATATATATATATATATATATGTGTGTGTGTGTGTAATTTCGTTCTAACTGTATTTTGATATCATCTAATATATATATATTGATATCAAAGTAAACTTAGAATGGAATAATATATATATATATATATATACACACATAAATATATATGTATATATCACTATATGTGCCTATAAATAAATAAAAATAATTTAAAAAAATTATATATATATATATATTCTACGTATATATTTATGTAATATTTTTACATAATTTGGTCATTTTATTAATTACTATTTGCAGGGCCTGCCTGACAACCCAGGCAGAAAGTCCAGAGAATTTAATTTGCTAGCATTATATTTAACCCTGTAACTTTTCAAGACACCATAAAACCTGTTCATGGGGGGTACTGTTTTACTCGGGAGACAACACTTGACACAATTATTATTGTTTCGAAACAGTAAAAGCTATTACAACAATGATATCATCAGTGAAAGTGACGTTGTTTTGCATTTTTTACACACAAACTGCACTTACACGGACTATATAATTGTAGTGATATGTTTTACTGTTTTGAAACACTAATATTTGAATATTTGTGTTCAGCGAAGTCTCGCAAGTATAACAGTACCCCTAATGCACAGGTTTTATGGTTTTCAAAAATTACAGCGTAAAATATAAGGCTTGCGTTTCAGTTTTTCCACATTAAAATACACCAAATTAGTTTTTTCAATTTTTCACACACAAACAAATAAAAATGCTAACTTTGGCCAGTGTTTGTGACTAAGTGGCTACTAAAAAAGACTGGACATACCCCATTTGCAATACCTTGGGTTGTCTACTTTTGCAAATGGTATGCCATCATGGGGGTAATTCTCATTCCTGGGCTATCATATGGTCTCAAAGGCAACGTAACAAATCTGATGATTTTCAATGTGAAAAAACTGAAATATGTAACATGATATATTTGACCCTGTTACTTCCCAAAACACCATGAAACCTATACATAGGGGGTACTGTTTTACACGTGAGACATCGCTGAATACAAATATGTGCATTTTAGTGCAGTAAAAGCAAACAGTATTATGACATTCACAGTTAAAATTTAATGCAGAACTAAAAAAATAACAACATTTCTTCATTTCTCACATATGTTTATATTTTATTCATATCAAATTATGTTTCATAGCTAAATATTTGATTAAATGAAAGCCCTATTTCTGCTGAATAAAATGATGTATAATAAGTATGAGTGCACTTAACATGAAAGAGGTGAATTACGGTTGAACAAATTTATAGTAAAAAGATTTGTTTATGTTTTATTTTGATCAAAGCGTGTAAATTTGGCTCAGTCCTTAAGGGGTTAATAAAGTATCGGGCAACCAAATGTTTGTGTCTTTTAGTTGAACAAATGGCGTGCTGTAACTAAATCAATGCCGGTCCTAGAGAAAACTCTGTGTCTGATACGTGAGAAATAATAGCTTGAATGATTAGAAAAAGAATAATTTGGGAGCACAACCAAATGCGTGTAAAGATCCCCACGCCTCTCCACAAAGTCAGCACTGATCCACCACAGATGGAAACAAACTGTGGAGAACAGCAGGTGTTGGATACCATCTCAACAACAACTTACATGCAGTTTCCTGCTATTTTGAGCAGATTGAACACTTGTGAAAATAAATAAAGATGCATACATTTGAAAGATTCAGAGAGCTGTTTGTCTGGGGTTAGTTAATTCACTTAAGGTCACAGTGCACTAGATACTAATGTAAGTGAGCATCTATATGACATTATTTACACATTTCATATATTGTTATGAATCCGTTTTAAGTCAATCTGTATTGCTTTTATGTATGTTTCCTTTTTATGCACAATATTCTGGAGCCTGATGATTTTTATCTCAAGAGTTCTGCCAGCTGCATTTACAATCCTTTTTGTGATGTGAATATTAATAGAAAATTGGGTTTAAGTGTGAATTGCTCTACTTTTTATCCTTTCTTTATCTTTATGGGTTTGGTGCCTGGGGTGAAATAGGGTTAGGTGAACTAAAGTGGGTACCAGCTAAATAATATTGCTGTAAACTTATTACTTTTAATAACAATTCTAAAGGGTTAAATTTAACAGTCATTTTTCCTTAAATAATTGTATTTTTAAGCACTACGTGCATCTTTTAATTTTATATGAACATTATAATGTATTAACTTGACTTTATTCATTTTTTAAATCTATTACTATGTGGTAAAATAGTGTTTACTTGCCATTTAAAATGTTAAAATAGAGAATAATCTCTAAATTGTAATATAGCATCATCTAGTGGTAGTAAAGAAATGTTACAAATTTAGCATATACATGTTTTACTTCTGGAAACAATTTGCAAATCTCCTTATTATGTCCCTTTGTGTATACCTCAATAATTTTTTCCATGTGTTTTCTTTCTCCAGTCCCTTTGTGTGTCTTTTTCTCCCCTTCTTACGCCCTCTGTGTGTCTCTCTCTATCCCCCAGTTTAACAAGACTTTAATGCATTATATAGACTGTTGTGGTAAATTTAGACCTGTTATGCTGAGTTTTAACCCCTTACCGCCGGATGACGGACCGGGTCCATCATGCCGGGGAAGCAGTTAACACCGGGTGACGGACCGTGTCCGTCATCAGTAAAGTTAACCCCAGTTCGCCGCAATTGCGTAGATTGCAGGGTTAACGCTCCTCCCGTCTGCCTCTGTATTTGAGGAAGACCGGGAGCACCAGATCACGCTGTCCCTGCAGCAGTGATCGTTCTGACAGGCTGTCAGAGCGAGCACATGTGCTGCAGGGACTTCTGATCCGCCTCCCTGTCTCCGCGTTCTGTGTGAAGTGCAGGGAGACGGATCAGTGATGCTCTTCTCCCTGTTAAAAAAATAAAATAAAGTTAGTTTAAAATCCCACCCCCCCCTTTACCCATTTTAAATAAAAAAAAATAACCCCTTCCCGGCCAATTGATCACTGATTACAGTTTTACTGTGATCTGATTTTTTTTTTGTAACCATCAGGAGTTAAATTTATTTTATGTATTGCTGTACTCAAATGACATAGCTGAGCAACATATGTAGCATGATACAGTCGTAGCACACATAAGGTTTGCAACATATTCTGTGAAAACTCACTTTGTGTGTCAAAAAGGCAGAAAAAACGCTAATTACCACTACACTTGGTACAAGCTAGTGGAAAAATGTTCCCATGCCAAGGTTCAAAATATGCCTTTTGAAATACCCTGGGATGTTTTCTTTAAGAAATGGTATGGCTTTATGGGGTATTTGGATGATATAGCCTGCTGAAATGCTCTGAAACGTGACATGGACACTGATTTAAGACATAGTATGCCTTTATGGTGTAGTTGTAATATGTAGCCTGCTCAAGTGCTCCAAAGTGAGACTCGGACGCATCAAAACCCTCATGAAGATTCACACTTAAAAACCTGAACTTGTCAAGTCTCTTTTACAGCACTGTAACTTCACAAAATAGTGTCTAGGTCATACATTGGGCATATTGTTTTATTCAGAAGATGTATCTGAGCATAATTTGTGAATTTTTATGACAGTGGTACATATCAAGTGTAAGAAATACAACATATAAGTAAAAATGCAATCCCCCACCACCACAAACATTGACATAAATTGGTGAAAAATGCACAATATACACCATATAATATACCCTGGGGTGTCTGCTTTATCAAATGAAAGCCCTTTGTGGGGTGATTTTAATAGTCACACTGCTATAATACCCTAAAATGAGACATAGGCCCGTCAAATCCATCTACGAAAATTCTAACTATAGAAACTGAAATAGCCTAGTCTCTTATATGGCATTGTAGCTTTACAGAAAAGTGCCAAAGGCATACGATGGGGTATCGTTATACTCAGCAGATGTAGCTGAACACAATATGGGGTTCTGTGCAGGAATAGCACCCACCAGCTTTACGAAATACACATTACAAAAATCTTGTTATATGTGTATATGCCAAAATAAAGAAAAAACACAATTTTACTCCAATATTTAGCAGAGATTGGTGATGAAATGGCTACGTAAAAAGTGTCAAATTAACCTTAGGTAAATAGTCTGTGATGTCTACTTTATATAAATATATACTTTTGTGTGGCTGTTTTTTTTCTGTGATGGCTACCAAACCTATAAGATAAACATACCAACTTCTAAAATTGTTGCAAATTTAAATTTTATTTTAGTCCTTATATTTTGTGACCTGTAAGTTTCAAAATGAGCTGAAATCCTATACATATGATGTACTCTATAAATCAAGACATATAAATGAATTTATTTTGAATTACTTTTTCTAAGCTGGACATATTATGCACACACTATTATTGCCAAAACTGTGAAAAAATAATAATAAATTTTTTAAAATTTTTTTTGCATTTGTTTATAATTAATGAGAATGTATCTATGTATATGTGACATTAAATTAAAGCCCTGTTTGCCCTCTAAAAAACAATATATAATATGTGTTGGTGCAATAAATGACAGAGATGCAAATTGTGTTTAAACACAAACAGCAAAAATATTTTAAAATGGCTTGTGTCCTTAAGCGTAAGACAAGCTTAAGGGGTTAATAAATGTACTAGCTAAGTATTGTTTATTTTTTTAAACTGTGTAATGTAACCGAAATGCAAATTGATTATCATTTCTCAATTCAAGTGATTTTACTTTCCCCTTTGCACCAAGTATTTTTTTTCATTTTTAAGTGTAGATTTCAATTAAAAAGTGACACTTTTATAAATTAACATTGTTACAACTCCAAGGCTGTCAATCAATCAACAACAAAAATCTCCTAAAATCTTAACCTTGATTAGGTGTTCAGACTATCTTCAACATCTTAAGCCATCAATAAAGGGGAGAGAAAACTGCACAAATAAATATGATTGATACATATTTTTCTGGCACACATTTATCATAGTATCATTACTATGTTTCATGACAATAGATTTTATTAGGCATGTGCAATTTGTTTCGTTCCGAATGTGAATTTGGACGAATTTCGGGCAATTCGGACATTCTGATGCTTGTGCTGATGCACTGAGGTTGTTCCACATTGTTCCCTGCACGCTCAGCATGCTGGGGAAACAGGAGAAAAAAACAATGTTAGGATGACTACAAGAGTCACTCTAGACCTAGTGAGGCCCTAAATAATGCTCATATAAATTACACCATAATCTCTTCACCTTCCTCTGCCAAAATTACATTATTCACAGTCAAAATGACATTATCCACATTTACATTGACATTGCCCTATCCTAATTTTACCCTCAACACAACCTTCAAATACCATTATCCCCTAATAACTCCCAACTACATAGAACTCTTAACTAACCAGCCTCAGTCACGTTACACCAGCCTTCCAATCCCATCACCTTCACCGCTAACATGACCGCGTCTCAATATTCTCGTCATCCTGAGCCAAAATCACAGAAGAATATCCCTCTAATTCCATTACTTAGTTATAGACTGCTCCTGGAGTTATTTTAGAGTTCATACTCTACTGTGTCGTTTCTGATTTAGGCCTAAAAAATTGCAGGAAACTGCATATAGTAAGGCAATATGCTCTGCTATTTTTCCAGGTACACAAGTCCCTAAATGCCTATACCTATTTATTTGTATTCCTATTTGTTACTATTTAAAAGAGCCAAAAACCATGTTGCCACTAACACACCATTTTATAAAAGCCTTGGTCTTAAATGAATACTGGCTTAAAGTGTCATTGTGTATACTCCCACCTATTATCATTCTGTCTCAAAGTGTCTCTGGCCATTCAACATCTTGAAATCTACACACTAAAATTGTCCTACAAGTAAGTTTCAGATAGTCAAGGCTGAACTCAAAAGATTCCATAGATGCATGAATATATACCTTTAACATTCGACTAAGAACTGAAATAGTTTCAGAGCTGTAACAAAAATTTTAACACACAACAGAAGGCTTCATATTTTGCATAATCTCTCTTTACTGGAACTACAGCAGCTAAGAAACACATAGAAAGAAGAACCAATCACAGGTGAGTATGATTTACATGAGGTATAGTGACCTAAGCACCTCCTCTTTCTTTGCTGCTCCATCAAGCAGACAGGTCAGACTATTACTCTTCTCCATTATCTTATGTTTCTATTGCCCCTCTGTTTTTTTTCTATATTATAGTTGATATTCTTTATTGTTGATTCCTACTGTGCGTCTATTCTTTGTGCATATTTGTGTAATTTCTAGATTAGTTACTATATTGTTCACCTTCTTCTTGATTCTGGCCTCTCTCATCTTTGCTCTCACTTCTGTCTGGGGCTTAAGGGGCTTTTGGGGGCTTGCTGGGGCTTTATCCCTGCCCTCCTGCTGGTTTTGCCGGCTCTCTGGCAGTTTGTTCCTTCCATTTGGGTTTTCTGTGGGCCTCTGCACAGATACGGCCTACCCAGGGCCGGACTGGGAATGCAAAGCAGCCCTGGAAAAAAATGCATGCCAGCATCTAAGTCCTTGTGCCACGATAGTGTTTGTGTGTGTGTATATATATATATATATATATAAAAATACACACACACAGACACTACTGTGTGTGTGTGTATGTATACATATATATAAAAATACACACACAAACACTACTGTGGCACAATGACTTAGAGGGCTGGCATACATTTTTTTCCATAGATTTTTTATATATATATGAATATATTTGTGGTCGGTTAATATAGGGACCGTAAAATATCTTGTGATTGGATCAAGTCGGTGTGGTGTGCTGAAACCTACGTAGGGGTAGGCCTGTAAAAAAGAGGGCCCCCTGAAGGAATTGTCTAGGCATGAAGAGGGTGAGGTGGATGGGGTGAACAGAAAACACCACGGCGAAGGTAAGAAGGGGGAGTAGCGTTTTATAGGAACGCTAACTCCTCCCACAAATACAGGCTTGCGGCCTTAAACTTGTGGTGGGTTAATATAGGGACCGTGAAATACCTTGTGATTGGTGTTGTGTGCCGAAACCGACGTAGGGGTAGGCCTGTAAAAAAGAGGGCAAAAGGAATGCAGAAAAAACACACTTTATTTCTAACACAATTATAATACAAGATTTGTAAATGCTTGCCTTAACTCTTTCTCTTGTTGCGGTATGTATCTATTGTATATTGCGGATTTCCAATGTCCCAACTTTTTGATGATGTGAACTGGAGTATTGATACTGGATGCGACCCCTATTCTGAATGAAGGACCGAATAAGAGGCAGGGTCCCAACCTAATTTAATGCACAGAGTTCTGATGTAGAACATGAATTTGGAAGTGGTAAGGGGACTGCCTAGCAGTGTAAAAAGTGGAGAGTGGATGGGATTGTCCCTAACCTGTACTAGATAAGTGTCTTAAACTTTAACAAGGCACCAGTGATTCTCTGTAGGGTAGAAGGGTACGTCTAGCGGATGGCCTAATTGTTTGGTTTTGGAATGCCTAAGTGACAAAAGATAGCGATCGTTCACCTTTTTTAAGTCTTTCATAATGAGACATAAATGACTGTCTGACTGGGCTGTTATCGTGAATACTCTAGGTCTCAGGAATCCATAAAAAGCTTTATAACCAGGTTAGTATGGGGTTCAAATGGTAGTGTGTCCAGTAAGTCTGTTAAGGCCCGGAATTTCTCCCCATCTATAGGTAAACATTTTTTGTAGTGTGATGATCTAATTTATTTATACCTTTTAATATATTCTTTACTGGGTAAGCAGAAAGAAAAGGAGTTTGATTTGGCATGGTTGTCAAAATGTAGTGTTGCACACCTGATAGAGTTTGATAGTGTTGTATGAAAGTTTGAGATGAAGGTGGCAAAATGTGTCAAATGCAACCATTGTTTGTATCAAATGATAGTGAATGTTGAATTCTACGGTGAACCTCTGAAAAAATGACCATAGCTATATTGTATGTTTTCTTTGTGTTTGTGAACAAGGCTACTTGCGCCAATTCCCTGCTGTGTGCCAATAGCCGGGTTAGTCCAGGATTAAATTGTTGAAATCTGGCGTTTGGGTCGGGTATTTATTGGCTGCTGGTGAAGAGCGAAGAATTCCTGTAATTTACAACGGGACAAAGCATCAGTGGCAGAGTTGGAGTAGCCTGGTATGTATTCGCAGTAGAGGAAGAACTGATGTGTGTCAGGATTTGCCCCATGTGAATGCAGCCGCTACTATCGGGTAAATTTTGAATGATGCAGACGTCTCGCGAAAGGAAGGTAGATTGAGTGTCTCTTTCATCCAGCAATCTCTCAACCAGTGATTTTTGTAGATTGCTGCAAACCCAGTGTTAGCAGCTGCATCTGTCCAAAAGACTGGGGATTGGTCGGATACCGGGGGAATGAACATTGAAATCCCATTCCAGTGTTCAAGGAACTCTTGCCACATGACCAGATCTGCCTTTGCCAGAGGATCTAAATGACCAATATCATCGTCGGGCAGACCTGGTAATAAGCGTAGCAGCCTAGAAATAGATTATCTCCCCTGGGGAATAATGCACACGGCGAAGTTTAACGTTTATAACAAAGATTGTAGGTCTTTCCGCGTGCAAGTTTCTAGTAGTAGGAACTCGCTCACGTCTTCACGAATACGTATGAGTTTATCCTTGGGGAGACTTGACTGCATGGTATTGGAATCCAGTGTAATACTTAGAAAATTAAGTCTGGTGGTGAGTTTAGTAGTTTTGTCTTGTGACAGAGGAACGCCTAGAGTTGCAAATAGTGCTGTAGTGCTCTTTAGACTTGTAGGAGTGTTGTTGCTATTTTCCACCATTAAAAAGTCATCTAGATAGTGTTTCACCGTGGGGCACCTAGTGATGTTGACCCCATGAACATGCCATAAAGAGGGATGGATAGGAAGCAACTTGAAAGCATTAGAGATATCGGTCTTGCTGAGCCATGCAGCTTTACCAGCTTTCAAGATTGCCTGTATAGCATTATCCACGGTGGTATAGTGTAGAGAGAATTTGGTGGATGGTATGCGGGAGTTTAGGCTTGGGTTTGTGGATGAATGAGGAGCCGACAGATCAATAATACGTTTTTTATTAGAGCATTTACTAGTGGCTATTCCAATCGGATATATTCACTAGGAGTTGAAAGGGGGGGGGAAGGGGCCTATCATGAAACCCTTTTGAACTTCCTTCCTGATAAGATCATCTACTGTTTGGTTGGTGTACTGCAGATAGGAGTTTAGGACATTCTAAAGTACCTATAGGGAGTGACACTAGCCCAGTGTGGAACCCCTGTGAAAACCCGTGAATTAAGTATTACACGTGAGGGGACGGATAAGTCTTCAAGTAGAACACCAAATTTTCTATGTTCACCTCAGTTAGTCATTGTTTTGGGTTCAACTTAGATGGGCACATGGTTTTGGCATGAGCCCTAAAGCATATGGAGCACCCTTGCAGAAATCTGCTGGCATTGAAACTGCACACTCCTGCATTAAAATTATTGCAGACTTGTGCTTTGCCCAGGTAGACAATGGGACGTCCGAGCTTGTCTGTTAAGCCACGCTGGTCAGGCTTGTTGGACCCAACTGGGTGGTTCGAGTATGAGGAGGGATCGGCTTTTGAGGAGCACAAATTGGTGGTATGGGAGGTGGATGAGCAGACTGCACAAGACGGGGGCACCAAGCCTGCAAAATGTCTGCAAAAGAGTTCTGTGTCCAACAGGCTCCAGTCAGTGCGGCTGTTAAACTGGTCCAGGGTTGCAGCTGCTTTTGCCGACACGGACTTGTGGAAGTCGTAAAACATAAAACCCCCATACTTGTGGCCCAAGTCCATGTATAAATCTAGTTCTTCCCGGTGTTGTGGATAAACAGAGCACACAACATGCCTGTAAATACTGAAGGCTAGGACAAACTCGGGTATGGTGAGTTTTTTGTTGAGTCGTGGGTCTCTAGCTTTCATAACAGCCAAAGCACCATAATTGTATGTTCTGTTTTCCACAACATCTTTGGAAGCAATTAGCAACGAGACTAGATTTACATCTTTACCATCTAAAATGTCCTTACGGAGAGCTTGGGGGAACATGTGAGCTGGGGTAATTACAT